AAAGAAAAAATATGAGAAAAGGAAAAAAATGGAAACAAAGTCTTTGCAAATAGGGAAGGGTAGAGGGGGTGAAGGGAGGGCAGGGGAAGGGGAAGGGGAAAGAAAAAGAACCAAGATACTCGTGTAAAGGTACAGGATCCCAATGATGAATGTAACTGTATTTTATACCTAAAATGTACCAGTAAACTTAATGGGGAAAAAAAAAGGAAATAAGATGAAAGTTTAATTTTCTCTGAATAAAGGGATCTCTAGGATTTCAAAAGGGAAGGAAGCACATTTCAAGTAGGCAGAAATATGAATAAAAGCAAAAAGACAAAAAAATATATAACCAACCCTCAACAAAAGTAAATGTGAGAGTGGAAAGCGGGAAGGAGGTCATGTGAAATCACACCTAAAACAAAAGCACAATGAACTTGTGATGCATTCGTCTTGACTGTTCAACCTAGGCTGAAGAGGGAAGCCAAGCCTAAAGTGAACATTGGCAAGGGATGTTTGGAATAAGCAGCTCTCCAAGTCCTTCTCTCTCCCTTTCAAGAAGAGAAGCTCCAAGTAACTTGGTCTAGAAAATCAATAAGAGCCAATTCTAAGTATAAGTTGCCTTGAAAGGTGAGCTTTTCCCAGTGCTATACCTAAATCATAATTAAAACCAAATGAATTAATTTACAACCAGAGAAGTGAACACTGACCATACATCAATTGATGCAGTGAGAAATAAAACTGGAAAAGGCAGATGCAGCATCTTAAAATTCCATGCCAAGGCATGTAGATTTTATTATAGAAATTATCCCCATTTTATAATTATTTTTAAATAATTTTTTTAAACATTGATATCTAAAAATTGTAATATTAAATATATATTACTCTCAAAATATATAGGCTGTATATGCATTAGCTAAAAGTAAAGATGGATCATAAAACTCACATTAAAATTCTTTGTTTAAAATATTTAATATTGGAAAGGAAATGAAATTTATACATACAGTATACAACAGAACTGCAGCAGGACTTCTTGTGCTTTGAAGATATTCTGTCTTTTGATCAAATCATTAAGTCTTAAGAATTCTACTTAAAAATAACTATGTGAACTAGTCTTACGAGGAGATGTCAACATCTTTTTCCCTCTAAAAGAGGTAACAACTATTCTTATCATCATAGACTGTTCTGAGGTTTTAAAACTGTAGCTTCCTCTCATAATTAATTTAGTGATCGCACTTAAGTGCGAAGAATGCCAAATGGTGAAATGAAGTTAAACATTTTAGTAAAATAGCTGACTAAATAGATAGGTGAATCAGATAGATTATAAAAAGTTTAATTTCAAGATAACTAGCTATTCTATAACAATCAAAGTACATAATATGTCATTATAGCAATTCAGAGAGAATTAATTCAGCAGATTTCTTTAGACTCACTGGTTCTATAAATAAAAGTAAAATACAAATTGTTCAAAAAGAGGTTTATTGCTCTTTAATTGTCAGTGAGAATGATGAAAAGACATTACTGTGGTTGGATTAACTTTAAATGACCACAGGCCAGGGCCAGGGATTTAGCTCAGTGGTTCTGCCATCTGCCCTGCAAGCACAAGGACCGGAGTTAGATCCCTGGTATCAAAAAAAAAAGATGGCTTAAATTGGGCTGGGGATTTAGCTTTGTGGTTCTGGCATCTGCCTCAAAAGCCCAAGGTCCAGAGTTCGATACCTGGTACCAAAAAACAAACAAAAAAATGACCACAGGCCAAAGAATACACAGTTAAGACTAAGAAATGAACTTACTTAAGAACTACTTACGATAAAACACACTGCAATTTTTTTTAAAAAACACCTGTTTCTGAAATTTGAGTTTATAAGTTAATTTTATAAGTTTGTATAGTAGGAGGAATAACCTTGGAAATCAATGTCCACATTACTCCAAATGCAATAGAACAACCTAAGTTTATTCTTAGGAGATATAAGCATTACATGTTCTCTTAATAAAGCTGAATACTGTAGCAATCCATAAACTGAAGAATAGATTGTTAAGCTTGCTCTAACCACGTTGTTCCCATAAACCTCAGTATTTAATTGTTCATCAGATATTTGAAGACCTACTATGGATTATACTTCAAAGTACATCATAAGATTTCTTCCCATCCATCTATGAAGAGAGGAGAAAGTAATATAGAAAGTTCTTAGTGTCTCTCACACCTATATTATTATTCTTGGAAAATCAGTCTCATTGGGATATTTTTTATATAGTCATTATATTTTCTTCTATTTGTATTTAGTTAAGTCAAACCTGCTATCCTTATCACAACAGAATTGATCCAGGGATTAGTATTTCAGCCAAATACAAGCATGAGAAAGAGAAATAACTGCCAGCTGGTGGGATTAGTATGAGACATAGAAATTATATGCTTCCATTGTATTATTATTCTAGTATCTGAAAACTGAGAAAATGTAAAAGACATTTTCATTTCAAAGAAATACATTATTAATATTAGCTATACACTAAAAATATAGTTCATTGAAACTTTATTGTGTCCTAAACAATTCCATGCCATTATTCTAATTATCTAGGAGCTTAGTCTGAGAAGTCATGGAAACCAGAATAATTTTCTGTATAGACAACTTCCTCAGTTTCTTTATTCCCTTCATTATTTAAATGAACTCCCACTACTAAGGACTTCTGAAAAAAAAAAAAAAGCTGCTACTTTTTTGTTTGTTTGGTTTTGGTACCAGGGATCGAACTCGGGACCTTGGGCTTGCAAGGCAGACAGTAGAACCAGAGCTAAAGCCCCGGGCCAAAAAGCTGCTATATTTTAAGCCAGCATTCAAAGTATCTAAAAGACAAAACAAAAATCATTTGACAGAGACAATATTTGAAATTGAGAAACAAAATCCATTCTGCAAATAATAAAAACTTCAGGTAGAATGAAGGTAAGGAGAAAGGTCTGAAAGGATGTAAAATAGTTTTTGAGGGAAAAATATATAATCAAGTAATAATGTGATGAAGAAATTTTTCTAAGCATCTAAGAGATACTTCTGCCAGATAGCAACAGCAAAGAAATGCTGGACTAAAAAACAAAACTAAAGGTAATCTTTAAACACATACACATGTACATATACACAGGCTGAGACTAAACAGAATCAAGAATCAGTTACAGTAAAATATTTTCTTCTTTATCAATGTTTTGAAAAAGAATGAGTCTGTTTTACTTTTTCTTTCATAACAGAATATTGCAAAACATTTCATAATTCTAGTTTCATACCTGATAATATTTCAGTTGCCCACCTAGCTCTGCCAGATGTTTATCATACTCAGTAATGAGAAGTGCTAAAAAGCTAAAGAAAAAGCATAGAGTTAAAACTAAGGGATATTTGGTTCTATCGAGTTTAATAAATATGTAACAAATAAATTATGTACCAAAGCTTTTGTTTTATTTATCCATGAGAATCAGTACTTTGGCTTTTCCCTAAACCAAAGGTTTTAGAAATTTTAGTATCATAACTGTTTTTGACTAAAAAACTGCTTGCACCAGTTTACACTCCCACCAACAGTGGAGAAGGGTTCCTTTTTCCCCATGGCCCCATCAGCATGTTATTGGTTCATTTCTTCTTTTCTTTTTTTTTGGTACTGGGGATTGAACTCAGGACCTTGTGCTTGCCAGGCAGGCACTAAGCCACTGAGCTAAATCCCTGGCCCAGGTTCATTTCTTGATAATAGCCATTCTTTCTGGAGTGAGATGGAATCTCAGCATTGTTTTAATTTGCATCTCTCGATTGACCACTGATGTTGAATATTTTTTTCATGTATTTATTTGCTGTTTCTATTTCTTAATCTGAGAAGTGTATATTCATCTCAGATGCCCATTTTTGGATTGGGTTTTTAAATTTGGGTGGGCTGATTTTTTTGGCTGGGGGGGGTACCAGGGATCAAACTCAGGACCTTGCACTTGCGAGGCAGGTAGCGGCACCACTGAGCTAAATCCCCAGCCCAAAGTGGGCTGATTTTTTTTTCAATTCTTTGTATATTCTAGATATCAGTCCTTTGTCTGAGGAACCACTGCCTAAAAATTTTTCCCACTCAGTGGCTTATCTTTTCACTCTGTTGGTACTGTGGAAATCAGTGTAGAGATTCCTCAAAAAAGTAGGATTAGAGGTCCCATTTGATTCAGCTATTCCCCTTCTGGGTATCTTCCCAAAAGAATTAAAACCATCATACCACAGCGATATATGCATGCCCATGCTTATAATGGCACAGTTTATAATAGCTAAATCATGGAAACAACCTAATTACACATCAACTGATGAGTGGATAAAACAGATGTGTTTTTTTTAATAATGAAGTAGTATTCAGCCATAAAGAAGGATAAACTTGAGACATTTCTAGGAAAACGCATGCACCTTAAGAACATACTCTTCAGTGAAATAAATCAAACACACATGGGTAAATATCGCATTGTCTCTCCGGTGTGAGAAACTGAAAGTGTAAATAAGGACCAAAAAAGAATAACAGATATTGTGAAATAGGAAGAAATGTTCAAAATTATACTGAGTATGAGCTACTTTGTTAACAATTAAAATGTTTCATGCAAAAAAAGGAGGTATAGTATTATTAGGAAATAAGCTGAGAGATTAGCAAATGAAAATATATTCTTTTAAGATCATGATACACAGTGTATTTACCATTGTTATTCTCTAATAATTTTTGTTATGAAAAATTATTTTATCATAGAATGGCTTTTATATTTTATTAATATCTATTTGTATTACTTTAAAATTTAAAAAAAGAACTGCTTGTCTTATGTGGGGGAGCAGGGTGGGTAGTCTGGGCTGAACATTTCTGGCTCTACCTATTAGATGTCAGTAGAGCCTTACCCTCCATGGGTTTTCCTTGTTGTAACAAATAAAAATGTTTCCAAACATTGCTAAATTATCTCCTTTTGGTACAAGGGCAAATCATCCCCCATTGTGAGTCAGTCTAAACGACTCTATGATAACTTGCTTTTTCTTATTATCTCAGTACATCAGTTAACTCTAACTACAGCTGGCCCAAAATAAATATTCCTAATCCTAAAAGAATTCTTTTAATGACAATATTGTTAAGAAAATAATATTTCTCTGGTAATACTTTATCTTTGGTCAACTTCTGAGTTTACTAATGTGTCATCTCCATCTCCTTTGGGGATAGTTTTTCAAGACAATAATATTTCTCTGGTAATACTTTACCTTTGGTCAACTTCTGAGTTTACTAATGTGTCATCTCCATCTCCTTTGGGGATAGTTTTCTGTAACAGAAAATATGCATCTTAAAATGCTTTCTCATTGTAGCCAAAACTGACAGTGGTTTAAAATTAAATACACTTAAAATTTTTACAACTTTATAAAATCCACTGCTGTAATTTCAAAAGAGTGAAATTTAAAAATCAGCTCATTGATACTGAAATGCATTTGGTATATTTAACACACATACATGATAAAACTTCTTGGAAAATTAGAAATATGAAGAATTTTTCTTGACATGATAAGAACATCTACCAGAAAGAAACCTACTTTAATTACCATTCTCAATGGTAAAAACTAGAAGCACTGTATTAAATTCAGTAATAATGCAAGGCTGCTCACAATCACTATAAAAATTCAACATCATAATAAAAGTTCAGCCAATATAAACACAGTGTGGGGAGATATAGAGATTAAAAAAAGATACAATGTTATCATTTACAGACAATTTGACCATTTATCTAGAAAAAGTCATATAATCTAATAATTATTAGGACTAGTATGAGAATATACTAAGTTATCAGAATATTAACATTAAAAAAGAAAATTTAGTAGTTTCTTCAAACACCAGCACTATTTTTTTCTCTGATTTATTTTGAAAGAGAAAAACATGCATATTTTCTTTACTTGTTCATCTATCAATGAACACTTAGGCCAGTGGTGGCAAACCTATGGTACATGTGTTATTGTGTTTTTCTTTTAAGACAAAAACGTGAATGCAGAGTTGTTTTTTTCTAAACTAAAACTTTGGTATTCAGGTTTAATTGGAGTGTTGTTACACTGTGATAAATAAGTGGGTTTTGGGCTGCAGTTTGGCACTTGGTATCCAAAAGGTTTTCCATCATTGACTCAGGGTATTTCTATATTTTGGTCCTTATGAATAAGGGTCCAATGAACATAGGCATGCATTTCATTTGGATACTTAGCCAGAAGTGAGATTTCTGATCATAGGACAGTGCTATTTTTAAGCTTTTTAGAAATCCCTACACTCTTTCCATAATGGCTATTCCAATTTATATTCCCACCAACAATGTACAACAGCTCTATTTCTCCATGTCTTTCTCAACACCTGTCATTCATTTTTTTGGTAACAGTCATCCTACTGTTAGGACATGATATCTGATGACATGATATTTCATTGAGGTTTTGATTTACATTTCCCTATGACTAGTGATTTGTTATATATCTGTTGATCATATTCATATCTTCTTTGGAAAATGTCTATTAAGGTCTTTTATCCACTTTTAATTGAGTTATTATTACTTAGTGGTATGAGCTACTTACATATTTTGGATATTAACTTGTCATAGACATATAGTTTGCAATGCAGATGCAATTTTATAATGCAAATATAGATAATATGTTATTTACATTAACTCACTAAATACAGGGTATGATAAAAAACTACAGTGAACGCTGTCGCCACATGGCACCCACGAAACACAGGGATCTTCAATATGAGAAGCAGGGCATGGAACCTCAGTAACAGTGTGTGAAAAGTTTCAACTTGTTCAGTGCAGTCAGTTGTGAGCAATGCTTGAGGGAAGGTATGTTTTAAATGGTACAATAAATCATAAATCACAAACAATGCATTTAGTTGGAGTTGTGTGATGTGTTGTTTCAGATTTCAATTTTTTTCTTTTTTTTTTTTTTT